GCTCTGGCACTGTGGGAATTGCGGCTGTTGTGAGGATGCTCTGGGCAAAGCCACTCCTGATCTGGGGGCTGGGATGTCCCCTCCACTGCAGGGACACAGAGGGTTTCCACAGCAGAGGTGGATCTTGCAGCGCAGTAAAGTAGGAATTTATAATGATTTTTATCCACTTATAATGATTTAGGACTGTTATATAAAAATATAACCGCTTATAATGATTTTTCTGCTGAAATTATCCAGGTGGTTTGTAGAGGAGTGGGAAGTGGTTGGGCTGTGGCAGCCAAAAATTCAATGAAGCTCATCCCAGTTTGGTGTCAGGAGGGAGTTCAAGATGGATTTGGAGTGTGGGAAGCCACCAGGATGAATTGTAGGAACCACAAAAATTTGCTCCAAAAAAACTAATATTAAAAAAAAATAAAACAAACAAAAATTTAAAATAAATAGAAATTATTGAAATAAATATATTAATGATATTAATGTATAATGTATAAGGGATACTATTATTTCTAAGAAACTAAAATATGATTATGTAGTCCTTATTTTAATGATATAAATACATAAAACTCCTGAAGTCCAGTGAGGAAGAGACTAGAGTAGAAGAGAATAGAGAACTGAATATAAGGCAATTACATTAGAAGAGAATTACAATATCAGATAATGAGAATAAAATAAAATAATATAATGGTAAGAGAATTATAGACTAGAATAATTAGGGAGGAGAGAGGAGAATTAGAGAGGAGAATAATTAGAATAGAATAGAATAGAATAGAACAGAACAGAATAGAATAGAATAGAATAGAATAGAATAGAATAGATATTCCCCTGCTATTTGGAAACTATCCATGAAATTATTTTAGGTGTGGAACATTCAGAGCAGGATGTGGCGTGTGTGGGTTTGTGACACCTCAGCTGTGTCCTGCTCCTATCCCATCCATGTCTGGGTCAGGTCCCATCCCAGCCATGTCCTGATCCCATCCCAGCCATGTCCTGATCCCATCCCTGCTGTGTCCTTGTCCCATCCCAACCATGTCCTTGTCCCATCCCAGCCCTGCCCTGATCCCATCCCAGCCATGTCCTGGTCAGGTCACATCCCAGCTGTGTTGTTGTCCCATCTCAGTCGTGTCCTGATCCCAGCCATGTCCCACTCCCATCCCATCCCTGTCCTTGTCCCATCCCAGCCCTGTCCTTGTCCCGTCCCAGCTGTGTCCTTGTCCCGTCCCAGCCGTGTCCTTGTCCCGTCCCAGCCCTGTCCCACTCCCGTCCCAGCCGTGTCCTTGTCCCATCCCATCCCTGTCCCACTCCCATCCCATCCCTGTCCTTGTCCCGTCCCAGCCCTGTCCTTGTCCCATCCCATCCCTGTCC